AATTGACGATACATAAGAACAAATCATTGAACAGCTCCATACCACCACTTTTCAGTTTCAAAATAATCATTTTTTTAGCGCACGATGAGCAGACAAGTTGGATCACTCCACCGATCAAACTCCCATCCTGCCAACCTCCAAAATCCACTCCCTATTATCCCACTTTTTGCTTTTCCGCCACCTGATTCACCACAAGCTAACACATCATCCGGCATGAATTCTGACACTAACTCAGCAATTTCTACAACAATTTTAAAATTCAATAATTCTGATATTGAAACCCCCGACGAATTCGCCGATTCAGAACCATCCCCTTCTACACATACCCCGACCAGCTCAGCAACCTTCCCAAAACCCTCTTTCCAACCTAAACAATCCCATAGCCAACATACATCTCCCTACAATCCTTCTCAAGTAACCCCAACATACTCCCCATTCAATAATGAACGCTCAACCAACAACTCATGCAGATTGTGGATAGGTTGGAAAGAGGGTTTTGGGAAATTTGTTGAGCTGGTCGGGGTATGTGTAGAAGGGGATGGTTCCGAATCGGCGAATTCGTCGGGGGTTTCAATATCAGAATTATTGAATTTTGAAGTTGTTGTATAATTTGTGATGTCTGAGTTAGTGTCAGAATTCATGCCGGATGATGTGTTAGCTTGTGGTGAATCAGGTGGCGGAAAAGCAAAAAGTGGGACAATAGGGAGTAGATTTTGGAGGTTGGCAGGGTGGGAGTTTGATCGGTGGAGTGATCCAACTTGTCTGCTCATCGTGGTATCCTGGTATGGAGCTGTTCAATGCACCCTGCGCTAACTCCCCTGATAATATCCAACTTTCCGAAGAACTAGATAATTTCATTACACTCCAACAACAATTGCTATCTCCCCCACACCCTCACTATTCACCAATTATCATCAACAATAACATCATCAAATCCATCAACACCCACACCAATTTCAGATTATACTCCATCATTAGCTCATTCATCCACTTCCACAGAATCATCCAACAGTAATAACCGTGCTTATAGAACTTTTAAACGTAAATTCCCCAATCATCCATTCCCATCCAAACCCGGAACCGCCCGAGAATATATCAATCATCCAGACCACACCAATACTACGAATTTTCTTCAAATAACCCTACCTTTTTTCCCCAATATACACTAAATCAATCCGACTCTAACCCTGAACCACGTCATTTTGTAGATGAACATGTATTAATACCCATACTTCATTGGACAGCTTATTATAATTTCACTAATCCCCTTACGCTACCACTCTATAACACCACTATCGATAAAAAAAAGAATAAAGACGAATTATTCAGATTAACCACAGCACTCACTCCACGACCATTTACATACGTAGGATATAAAAAATTACTAAAAACATTCACTGCAACCCGCGCTAACGACTATTCAATTGAATATTACGATCATAACATGATCAGATCTAATCAAGACCAATTTCTTGATGACGATAAATTTGCAAATCCACAAATCACAGAAAAGTTTTTTTATTAAATCATCATACGTATTCACACTCAACAGACTAGATAAAACGCATGATCAAATTATTTCAGAAGCACTATCAGACATCCAAGCATATGAATCATTTCGTGAAAAATTTCAAACATTTTCACTAACCTTTCACTTCCTGACACCAAATGAACGCGATTTGCACTGCTCACACGACATCATGTTGCGAGCTAAGCAAACACATACTTATACTTACTATCGCTTTATCCAAAATCACACACCATCACGCCAACCTCACCACAGATTTCAGTTCATTAATTCCAAATACAGCTCACCATTTTTTCTAAACTTCACGTATTGCATTAAAAATACCAACTTCCAAGGCATCCTCCGGAATTATGATCCCATCACTCAAATGTATATTTTTTGTCCCCTCACGAAGACTTTCAATGACGAAGAATCCCGGCCTCTGATCATTCGGCATGAATATATTCAACCCATAGAAGTACCCATTTTAGAATTCATCCATAGTACTAAACATAAACATAAGTTTTATAATCTAATCCAGAACACACCTCATGAATTTGCACTAGTCACCGAAGAACTAAAAACCATCAAAGCACTGCAATTGCTTTGGCCACTGTTGCAAACTAAAAAAATAATACGCATACTAGCAAAACTACTAACTACCTCAGACGTTATTCACGACATTTTCCCACACGGCTTTTTCCCAGATGACTACAGGTATTTATGAATTTAATAATTTTCAAACTAACTAATTCAAAATCGAACTAACCATTTTATTCAGGAATTTGTATTCTCTGTAGCCTTCAAATCGCAATCACCTTCAAAACAAGAAAAGACAAATAAAAATATAAACTCTGTTTTCTATTTTAAACTCTATCAAACCAACAGCACAAAATGATGCAGTAAAAGTTAAATCAAAGTAGTAAATTCCTTTCTAAATTATTCCCCCAAATGTAGTAAATTTAAAATACATTGAAAATAAATGTATACCTCTCAACACCAAAAGCAGTAAAATTTCACCTTAAAAGCATTAAATTCATACAAATGAAATGGAGTACTAACCTTTTCAATAACTTCTGTTTAAACGCACGGAAATTCTATCCACAATCGGACAGCTCGCCAACGAAGAATTGTTTAAAATAATGAATTGGGGTTTTAAGTTTGCACTAACAACAACTCAAACAAGCAAAAACAAGTTTCCATTTTTCCTTTAACCCGGTTGGAATGGAATTATATAATAACCAAACAAACCAAAGCAGCTTACTAAACACCATAAACTATAAACTAACAGCATGACTAAGAAAAGAAAATCCACGGTACCCAAAACGGATTAAACCAGCTTAAAACTGGATGAATTATTCTTTTGAAGACTATTACCACGTCTAAAAAAGAAACAATAAAACACCAAAAAATCGCAAGACAAACTCAAACCACAAACAATTTGATTTTTGAGAAAAGGACACAACCAACGAAACAAAAGAAAAACAAAAAATAATATAACACAAAAGTTAACACAAAACATGAACCCTTAAAAATCCAGCACGAAATCATACTCCCGTTCCTGGCCTAACCCACCAGAGAGGACGTCCTGAGCATGCTCTATAGCCGGCCTAACCCACCGTGCTACATCCACGCTTTGTGAACAAATCACTATTTTTGACAAGAGGTACTCAAGTGTGAGTAACTCTTAAAAATAACTGAACTAAAACTAAAACGCTTTTGCGAAAACAATTAATCAAAATCATAACTAAAAAGAAGAACTAACAAAATTTTATAAAATGTAAATTATAATATGCAGTACATAGATCCTGAACAACCACAAGAACGAGCATCCAAAGACTAGACGAACCCATCACACTCAACCTACAGGATGGCTAAATACAACTGACATGCCGCTCACAATCACAACTCATAGATATTTAGAGTACGACTTGACTTCGCAGAAAAGGACTTCATTGAATCAGACCAATGACCATCTCGATGTTCAAGTATACGTACAGATCCGAGCTACAAGGCATTATCTCCAAACACGATCTTCACGCCATTCCCAAACCGGATCGAAACACAGTTCTCCACAATCAATCAAGAACGGATGATCATAGCAAACTAACTTGAAATCAGATTGATTTCATTGACAGTCTTAGTCTTTGTCAAACGATAACTAACAACTTTCTATCGATGACTACAGCGTCTTGGAGCTTTCTTCTTCAAGAACAAAACAGGAAATGATGCTCGTCAAACAAAAACGACCAACATCCATCCTTCATTACAGATAGAAGATCTAAGGTTCAAAACTCTGTAAACCCCGGATGGGTGGAACCAGATTTAAACTATATTTATTATTTGGTTATAAATTGGATATTTTATCTCTATAAAATATTTAATATTAACCATTCACGATCCATCTAACTAACAACCCACTTTTTTATAAGTGCTGAAATTACTTGTAATTTCAGCACCAGAGAGATTTGAATTTAACTTAGAAATTAGTTAACCCTCCCAGAGAACTTTAGCAATCGCAATAAGCCAGTATACTCTAGATCTATTGAGCCTAGCAGACACTAGTTAAACACCCTGAGACTAGTAGATATAAGAGTAAGATTAGGATTGGTATTAGACTAAGAAGTTCCACGAATCTATCCGGCCGAAAATAAGATAGCGTGACGAGCAGACGGGGTACCCTATCCGAAATTACTCTATGAGTTACACCTCGAACTTACCTCAAAAGGTCGAACAAAAAATATCTTATCAATTATTTTAGCGAAAAGGACTTCAGATTCGGTGTTTTATATCGCGCAAAATCTCAAATAAACGTCAATGGCGCAGAGCGACATACTATTTTGAAGTCATTTTAGTTGTGATTTGCGAAGATATATTGACGCATGAGCAATTTGACTTGGCAGTTGAATTTTTTGTCCCAAGTTTCTTTCAAATTTTTCTCGGCAAGTTACCGTGTTAAAAATTATGGTTACCTGTATAGTTACGAGTATTTTATGGTTATTTAACTATTTTTTTCTATGAAAACTCAAACAATTTTCAAAGAAATGAAAGAAAAAAGTCAAAACGCCAAAACCGAAAAAGCATCAGATTAATAAAACTCATATTGTAAGAAAACTAGAAATTTAAAACATTTAACTGGAATTTGTTGGAATTCTTGTCGTTCCAGTTTTTACAGAACAGCTTACATACATGTTTTTGTTCAATAAAATGAGCAAAACAAGTTCTGGCACAGTCGGTAAGTAAGTAATGATACAATGCCTGGTTCACATGGCAATCTTTTAAAATTTTCAGCCAGGCAAATGAATCTGAGACAAGTAGTACTGAGCTTTCAAGTAAAATCATGTTATGAGACGAGGCACCACATCACAATATTTATCCAACAGATAATACCAGGTCATACCAAAAGGTAAAATTGTCCCTGCATGTTCACAGGTATTCAATATTAAATTTGAATTTTGAAAATTGTGCAAGTCATAACCAATAAAGCATCACAACGCGTCACAACAAGGTTTTTCAGATACGAAAGTCCTCTTCGTTCTTACATTAGTTTATGATTTATTCTTTGCAGAAATCGGTTCATAAATAAGTTTTCTACTTTTTCTGATTACTAATCATGATTAATCATTGCTTATTACTCCTCTTGTTAGCACTTAGCTTGTTTTCGACTCCTATACAAGGTGTGTTTCGAGTCCAATTTCTCGATAAATTTAGAAACAAATACGATTGATTAACGTTTTTTTTTCAAGTTGAATTTATATAATTATTTATGAAATTCTAAAAATAATGGTTAAAAACATCTAATCTTACTAGGCAAATCGTGTTCAATCTAAAACTAAAAAACAAATCAGCTACAGAAAAAAAAAATTTCCGACAACACACATGAAAAATTATTGAATTTTAGAACCAAAAAAAAATAACTTTGAAGGTTTAAGTGGTTAAATCAGTTTCAATATAGAAGTTTCTTTTACAGGAAGAAGCTTCATAGCAGAATATCTATCGTGGAAGCGAATTGACAGCGGCGCCACAAACACAATCGATTCCGTCTACGTGGGCCGTTATAGGTATGACACAGTTCAGCACAACGAGCGAACAGAAAATTCCATCGGTTCTGGACAAATAGCTGAATCTTTGAGCTCAGGACAACCCGAAGGATCTAGCACCTCTAAACTGGTCGACGGATCTGGTTCAGGTCAACTGGTCGACGGATCTGGTTCAGGACAACTGGTTGATGCTTCTGGATCAGGACAACTGGTCGACGGATCTGGTTCAGGTCAACTGTTCGATGGATCTGGTTCAGGTCAACTGGTCGATGCTTCTGGTTCAGGTCAACTGGTGGACGGATCTGGTTCAGGACAACTGGTCGATGCTTCTGGATCAGGTCAACTGGCCGATGGATCTGGGTCAGGAAAATTGGTCGACGGATCTGGTTCAGGACAACTGGTCGACGGACCTGGTTCAGGACAACTGGTCGATGGATCTGGTTCAGGTCAACTGGTCGACGGATCTGGATCAGGACAACTGGTCGACGGATCTGGGTCAGATCAACTGGTCGATGCATCTGGTTTAGGTCAACTGGTCGATGCTTCTGGCTCAGGTCAACTGGTCGACGGATCTGGTTCAGGACAACTTGTCGATGCTTCTGGTTCAGGTCAACTGGTCGATGCTTCTGGATCAGGACAACTGGTCGATGCTCCTGGATCAGGTCAACTGGTCGATGGATCTGGGTCAGGACAACTGGTCGATGGATCTGGGTCAGGACAACTGGTCGATGCTTCTGGATCAGGTCAACTGGTCGACGGATCTGGTTCAGGTCAACTGTTCGATGGATCTGGTTCAGGTCAACTGGTCGATGCTTCTGGTTCAGGTCAACTGGTCGACGGATCTGGTTCAGGACAACTGGTCGATTCTTCTGGATCAGGTCAACTGGCCGATGGATCTGGGTCAGGAAAATTGGTCGACGGATCTGGTTCAGGACAACTGGTCGATGGACCTGGTTCAGGTCAAATGGTCGACGGATCTGGTTCAGGACAACTGGTCGATGCTTCTGGATCAGGTCAACTGGTCGACGGATCTGGGTCAGGAAAACTGGTCGATGCTTCTGGATCAGGTCAGCTGGTCGATGGATCTGGGTCAGGACAACTGGTCGATGCTTCTGGATCAGGTCAACTGGTCGACGGATCTGGGTCAGGAAAACTGGTCGATGCTTCTGGATCAGGTCAACTGGTCGATGGATCTGGGTCAGGACAACTGGTCGATGGATCTGGGTCAGGACAACTGGTCGATGCTTCTGGATCAGGTCAACTGGTCGACGGATCTGGATCAGGACAACTGGTCGACGGATCTGGGTCAGGAAAACTGGTCGATGGATCTGGTTCAGGACAACTGATCGACGGATCTGGTTCAGGTCAATTGGTCGACGGATCTGGTTCAGGACAACTAGTCGACGGATCTGGTTCAGGTCAACTGATCGACGGATCTGGTTCAGGACAACTGGTTGATCCTTCTGGATCAGGACAACCGATTGACGGATCTGGGTCAGGACAACTTGTCGACGGATCTGACTCAGGACAACTGCTGACTGTTTCAGGAGGAAATATGTTTTAAGAATGAACTAGCCACTGTTTTTGTAGTCTGATAATAAATGGTGAAACAATCAGTATACAAAACAATTATCAAAAGTGTAAACTATTATGCTATTGTCAATAAAAACGGTTTCTTTCATTTTGTAAATGCGCCTGCCCAAATCAGATACGAATTTTCTCGGCTTCAAGAAAAATGCATAACAAACGGGGATGGATGATAAGGACATTTTTTTTTTTTAAAAAATGAAAGAAACCGTTTTTATTGACAATAGCATAATAGTTTACACTTTTGATAATTGTTTTGTATACTGATTGTTTCACCATTTATTATCAAAAAAAATAAATGTCCTTATCATCCATCATCGTTTGTTATGCATTTTTCTTGAAGCCGAGAAAATTCGTATCTGATTTGGGCAGGCGCATTTACGAGTAGGCGCATAGCATTTACTTCCATTTTTTATCCGATGTGAATCAATTGCTCAATATACTGATATTAAGTTTGAAGTTTTAAGTTAACAACTACATTACAACAGCAAATAAAACTATCATAAATGCAACAAACCGACACGCATCACTTTATGAATAAATTTCTAAATATCTATACTTCAATATCCCAAAAATTTTGTTTGAGCCTTGAAAAAGGCAAGAATTCAACTACCGCTGAGTTTTTAACTTTTGATTGTGATGTGATCTAAAATCTAAAACAAATCGGAATAGATCGTGGGGCATCGTTACTGTTTTCCATCTAAGCGATGATATACAGTGGGTTTAGCAAAAAACTGCCAAATTGTATAGTAGTAAAAGTAATTGGAGTAAGATTTTGCACGTTTAAGAATGATTAGGTGCTTAAGAAAAAAGTGGGCTTTTTCTTTCCCCCCACCACGCACGAACATCAACTTTAGGGTGTAATGAGTGGGTTTACAAGAGTAAGCATGAAAACTAAAATTTTTGCCATGTCTTAATTAGTCGGCATGTCAATTTTAAAGACAATAGGAGAATGTGAAACACAATTTTAGTAGTAAAAATATGCAGGTGGGGAGGAATAAGAAAACTAGTCAAAAAAGTTTCTAACTCAAGGTTTAAGTTTTATTTCAAATTTCATGGTTCAGAGTCAGTCAGAAACATTGATTACACGGGTTCAGTAATTCAAAATTTGATAGAAATATAAATTCAGAAAAATGCACTTATTTAGTTCTAAACCGTATGCAAAAAATAACGTAATGCAAGAACTCGCAACAAAATATAACTCGCAAGACAACTCGCATTAAAAGACAACTCACAATATACTCACCGCCGCAGTCGCGCCAACGTTTTGCGAGCTTAGAACAGATGGTAGGACTTCATACGAAATCTAGAGCCGGTTATCGCCTGCCGGCGACTTTAAACCAAATTTCCTATCTTAAGATTTAACTTTCAAATTCTGCCGCTTTCTTCAAATTCTGAGTTGTCTTTTGTTGCGAGTAGTCGCGATTTCAAAAACTAACTCCAAAACAAAAATTGAAGTCAGGCAACTCCAATTTTGCACCCTTCGTTTAAAAAAAAAAGTTGAAGAAACTTAAAAACCAAAGAGCCCATAGCACTCGTCTTGTACATATGCAAATACATGTAAAACTTCACGGTCGAGCGATTATTATCCTAGAAAGAGTTCATTCAGAGAAAACATACCGACACGCATACATACACAAACTCTCATATATTTTTTACATAGATTAAAGTAAAAGTTTAAAGTATTCCTCCGGCACGCTTTGATCACTAGTTGACTATTAGTGGGGAAAAAAATTATTTTTGAAACTTTTAAAATTAAGTTACAACGGATACAATGTTGTAATTCGTCTTATTTGATCAATGTTTGGTCTACATTTCCGATAATGAAAAATTTTACTTTTTCCGCTAATAATTAAATTCGAAAAAAAAATCAAAATTTTGTCCAATTCGCCCTAAAAACAGTCAAAAAGTTTGGTGAAAACTCTGGCTTAATTCTCATATGCCGGGGCAACACAACGTGATTTTGAGAGCCTTTTCAGCAGTCTGAAGCAGAAACCAAACTTTCTATAGAAATTTTTTCATTAGAAAATCTGGTAGAAAACGGTATAAAGTGTTGGTTTATGCGTTTTTAAGATAAGAATAAAGCTTTCTGTTCTTTGCCTTTTTACACCACTTCGGATCACTTGCAAAGAAAGCATGATGAACTAATCAAGAGAAAATATGATCTATCAAAAAATCATTTTGTCTTGAAAAACGTTCCGTTAGGAAAAGCATTTCCAAAAAAAAAATAAAATTTGATAAGCATCGAAACAAGATTAACGAAGCCTTAACAAAGCCGACAACTGTTGACCAGACCCACGGATAGCATAAGAAAAATAAAATTAGCGTAAAACGCACCTCAGGCCCTTCAAAAAGATGAATGAACGTGAAAATTGCTTCATTATAAAATATAAGAAAAATCAACAACTTGAATGCAACCGTAACAATAGACGGGGGCATCCAACAAAGATTTTATTTCAAAAACTCAAATTTAATTTCAGTTTAGACGCGGTTTTTAAACTGAAATGGTAAAAGATCAGAGTTTCAGATCTTCGTATTTTTACGCAGAATTAAAACCTTCATATGGTCGTCAGTATACAACTGCACTCTCCATATTCAAAAATTATTTTTTGAAACGATTTCATTTGCAAAACCCCTCTAATCATGAATGAAATTTTTGATTAACTTAGTTTTTTAACATCATTAGCCCGTACACATATCAAATACTTTGAGTCTAGATATCAGCCTCCTGAGAGAACCTTGGCAGCACCCTAGCGGAGTGTTGAAAATTTCGAATTTTGTTAAGTTAATTGAATCTAAGTTTTCAGAATTTTTTTTAAAAAGTCATCAAATTCGTCATTTCTAGGTAATTAGAGGCAATCGAGGAGTAAAATTTGGAGGCAAGGTTTGCAACCCCTGGGTACCCTGACTGAGCCTCACTACAGAGATGAGAACTTCAAACTTTGTGAGGTTTTTTACAACTAGGTTCTTTGAAAAACTGTTAAAAATGTCACATCTCGAAAACTAAAACCATTTGAGCAGTCGTCGCTTTTAGATTCAAGATTTGTAAATCCTGAGAACATTCTGACAGTACCCAACTAAAGTGCTGAGAATTTGAAAAAATCATGAAAAATCATATCTCGAAAATATGACGAGATAGAGTTATAACATAAAATATGACGAAGTAGAGATGGAGCTGACAACCAATTTCGGTATTCCTGTGACCAAAGTTGTTTACGGGAAAAAGTCTTGTACCCGGTTGAACACATTTGTCTGTCGCAACGGTTAACAGCCACAAAAAAAACCCGTCGCTAAATCTTTTTTTTATGTTATATGCAAAATTATTATTTTTGTCTATTAAATGATGCAATTCCTTTGACAATATAATAAATTTTTTAAAATCATTTGCATTCCGACATACAGTGGAAAGCTGAAAGATTCATTCTCATCGGTACCAGGCACTTCGCTTCGTCTATTTAAAACTAAGGCATTAATTACCATCGTCTAAAAAACTGCAGCGGACTTTTCACCTCCATTTGTAGGAAATTAATTGTTTTTAGTAGCGTAACTGATTCGGAGCCAGTTTTTCTCCATGAAAAAACCTCATCATGCCGTTTTTCTTACTTTGTTTTCGTATTTAAAAGTGTGTATGGAATGTACGAAAAACTCCGAGGGAATTTTATGAAAAACATTTTTTGTCAAACGGAGAAGCGCGATGGGCGGGCGCCGACACTTCAAAAAACACAAAGGTACCCTGCTGGTACCACTTTATGGAATCTAATTTTGACCGACCATTCAAAATGTTTTCTTAAATCGCTTTCCAAGTCAATGCAATCATTGGTCTGCTTTGTTTTTTTTTTGCCTGCATTTTCGTTTTTTTTTGTTTTTTCAAAAGTGTTTTGAGGACAGACATAAGCTTCGCAGTAAGCAAAAAGTCAAAACAATAGTGCGAGAAAAAAACCAGAGATTTTCTTGGCTGGAACGTTCCAAATTGTGTCGATATCATTACTGGAAAGACCGCCTTTCTCAAACACTGGCCCTTTACAGGAAGCGTGTCACTTGCCAGGGAAGTTCTTTCAATCCAGCGAACTAAAATCAATAGATAATTTTCAGTAATAACTTACTTAAATAGTTCCTTCCACTCTTTTTCAGTAATGTGAAAGAAGCAACAGTATATAAAACGAGATATTTGCTAATTAGATGAAAATAGCAAGCCCACCTCCAATAATCAATTGGCTCGCAAAAAATTAGTTGTTCTGATCAAACTATCAAAGCAAAGAAACTTTGAACAATTTCAAGTCATATGGTAAATCAGTTGGAAAAATTTTGAGCTTCAATGATCGAATCGGTTCTCGAAAAATCGAAGTTTTCTAAGCAAGCTATTCAAGCTGTAAAACTTTGAAAGATTTCAAAATATTTCTGAGCAAATCGGATGGCGCAACTTAAGGTTTTTATATGGAAGCTATTCAAACGACAAAACATTGAAATATTTCAAGTTGTTTCATAGAGCTAAACTATTCGCAAAAAAAGTAAAGTTTTCTAGGCAAGCTATTAAAGCAAGTAAACTTTTTAAAAAATTCATTTTGTTACATAGAGCGAATCAGTCGGCAAAACGTTAAAGTTTTCTTGGTAAGCTATTCAAGCTATGGAATAAAATACTTCAAGTTACTTGACAGAGCGAGCTTTTTCTATGCAAGCTATTTAAACATTTAAACATTCCCAAGTTCTCGCAGTGACTGATTTGGTTCAGGAAAAGGATAAGTTTTTCGAAGCAAACTATTGAGCTATGACACCCTGACTTATTTCCAGTTATTTCATAGATTGAAAAGTTGGCAAAAAAATTATATTTTTCTAAGCAAGCTGTTTAAGCTATGAATTTTTCAAAAATTCAAGTTAGTTAAAAAAGTGAACCGGATGACAAACTGTTTTTGTTGAAGCCTCTCAAGTGATTTCCAGGTTGTTCTTAGTTTTTTTTGCGCGAGCTCATGGAGCGAAGAACTTCGAAAAAATCTAAGCTACTTCTTAGACCGATTTTTTTTCGCCAAAAATTAAAGTTTTCCAAAAAAAGCAGTTCAAGCTATGAAACTTTGACATAATTCAAGATATTTAATGAAACAAATCGGTTTACGAAAATTCGTTTAAGCAACCTTGTCGAAACTTTGAAGCTATTCGACACTTTGAAAACTACGAAACTTTGAAAAACCTCCGAGTTAATTCAAAGATTGACTCGATTTGCGACAAGTTTTTCTAGGCAAGCTAATAGAGCTATGCAACTTTGAAATACTTCAAGGTATTTCATAAACTGAATCAGTACGCCAAAGGATTCACATTTTTCTAAGCAAGCTTATCAAGCTAATAACATTTGAGTTATTTCGTAGACTGAATCGGTTCGCGAAAAGCTTTTATTTTTCTATGCAAGCAGAAATTTTAAATTCTTTTCAAGTTATTTCATAAACCGAATCAAAGTTATTTTTGCGGACTAAATTGATTCGCGAAAAGTAAAGGTTTTCTGGGCAAGCTTTTAAAGCTATGATGCTTTGAATTATTTCAATTTCTTTCATAGACTGAATCGGTCCGCGAAAAATTTAAGTTTTTCTAAGCAAGCTTTAAAAACTATGAATTATTTCATGTTATTTCATAGATTGAATCGGCTCGCGAAAAGTTAACGTTTTCCTAAGCAAGCTTTTAAAGCTATGAAGATTTGAAT